ACCACGGTTCTGGGACGAGCCGATTGCTGACCTTCAGCTCGCTGAATGCTCCAGGAAGTAAGTCAACACGATCAACCACGATTTTGCGACTGGGAAATATCTGACCTCCGGCTCGCTGAGTCTGATAGTTTGTAAGTGATTAGGATCAACCACAGTTCTGGGGCAAGGCAATTTTTGACCTTTAGCTCCCTGAATGTTGTAGGAAGTAAGTGAACAGAATCGACCATGGTTTTGCGATGTGGCAATAGCTGACCTCCGGCTCACTGAGTGTTTTAGCAAGTAAGTGAACCTGATCAATTACGGTTCTTCCTTGAGACTATTGCTGACTCACTGCCCGCCGAGTGCCGCAGGAAGTAAGTCACTAAGATCAACCACTCCTCTTTCCCTCGGAAATTGCTGATACAAAAATGTCTGCTTTCTCCAGGCGGTAAGTGGTCCCGCACCTTCTCACTCGTTTCTCAATCCTTCCACTCTAATATATATCTCCCATCGTTGCAGGCCGTATGAAACCAATAACCCCTACGCTCCTTGTGAAGGCTCTCCCCCTCACACTAATATCTCCTTTGCTCTGCTTTCTAGAAGGTAATTACCATGAATCCCCATATCCTACCACTTCTCTAGGCTAACCTATTACTGTTTCCCCGTCTTAGTTTGTATGCAAACCTATTCTTCCTCCTACGAGTTGTAACTGATACTTGGCCCCCTACAGCTCGTTAGTAATCTTTTGCCCCCCCCTTCCTTTTTCCCATCCTTAATTCACCGCCCACCTGGAAAATTTGGGCAAAATAGAGAGTAAGTGACATACTTCCATTACGACTAACCATATTAGCATGGAATACCTATTAACCCTTCTTTTAGTTTGTGAGTTATTCCGGTCCACTCTTCCTGCCTGCGCCATTAATCTTAACCCCGTGGCAGTTTTGCATCCAGGACCAGCCAGACGGTCACACCTAGCCCACCGGGGCACGATATTCTTCGGAAAAGCCAGTCTGGTAGCCAGTAAGTGTCATATGTCACCCTTTTTCTCAGTGTTTGCCTACATGTCTCACAAACTGCACAATAGGTTGCCCATTTGCGGTTGTGTGTTTGTTCCGGCCCCTGTGTTCATTAGATTTGCCTACTTTCTCGACTCCGCAATACCTTTTTGCACGCCGGAAGCTTTTCTACTTCCTAAATGTTTGATTCACTGGGGGCTATAATATCATTGCCGGGATGTTAGGATTCAGGGGAGTTAGCTGTACTTGGCTCGTGGTGGTTCTGTTACTATTGTACTGGCATCTTCACAATTTGATTGTTCCACAACACTATAGTCCTCCGTATCTACTACTCGGTGACCAAAATTTGTCCCAAAATGCATCTAGTTTGACAATTGGCAATCAATCATAAGCTATCCTGATAACACAAATGTATGATTACTATAGCCGGCCATGTGACATAACACCGAATAGGCGGCAAACCTCCGAGGAACCTCCTTGAGACCGCGGGAGGGTGTTATTGAATATTTTGTCCTCATCTCGTTTTGCAGAATGCTAAAAGACTGTTGGAAAAAAGCGGATGATGGGATAAGGGTCCCCTTGGACAGCTAAATGCGGCCCAGGAGCCTACAACCCCTTTCTCGCATGTTAGCATTACTACTTTAAGACCTATTACTAAATCCCTAGCAAGCCAGAGTTTCTTTCACGTTATCTATTGAGTGGTAACTTTGTTTACTTAGGGTAAAGGATTATCACTTCCGTGGAAGTAAGCGACTGGGAATTTCACACACCATACTTATGGACACTATTCTCCGGTCATCACCCATACTTCCGAATGCAGCGCAGGTAGAACATAGAATAGGATATCTCGGTAAAAAAATCACCACATGGGGGATTCTCCGCCCACCACTCTGCATCTCGGGGAGGATAAACTAGCCAAAAAGGAAACCTCGATCAAAAGTTGTATTTCCAGATAGACAAGCTCACTTAGAAACTCGAATGGGTCACGAAATACTCCTACCTTGGATGGCCAGTGCCCGAACTTGCGCGTGCTCGAGCGAGCACACCCGAGACCGAGTGTTCATGAAATATCACTCGGAGGAGCAATGCCTGGACTGTTGAGATATGGTTTCTTTCTCCTCCCAAATGCTACGTCAGTCGCTTGTGTTTTTATTCCCAATCCGGGTACTAGTTCAGACATCTTCGTTATTCCTTTATTATTCCTTTTGTTCCTGTATACTTTCTTTGAATACCTTTGTTCCTTGTTGTGGAATCCCGGTGGTAGAAGCTTGTCTGAACTGCTTTGTTGTATAGCCGGTCTATGGTCTATATCTTTCCTATTATTCTAGTTGATGCTGTAGGTAGAATGAATTATCTCAATTCTGATCTTTTAAAACTACTTCCTGTTCATATTGCAACATGGACCACAACTTCGGAACCAGACATGTGCGGAATTATCCCTGGATGGATACCAGAACTCTAAACCCCGCGTGCGCTAATCGGACCCCTAGCTACGACGGTATCATAAACAAAGGTCCCGAAACTAGACAAGAGGTAGCACCATTTGGATGTGCAAACTAGGATAATATCTGCATTCAATGGTCCTATTTCATTGGCCATGTGAAGAGAATAACCGTGCACCACATAATTCCGAGAGACCCACAAATCACTGTCAGCCTTACACTCTCTGGATCCAGGGTCAGAAGCTCCTGAGAAAAATGGGCACTTCCCTGACACAATATGTGATGTTTCCCTGAAAGGCGTGTTTGGTGGCACTATCTGGTATTCACAATTATACCCACTCGCCACCTAAAAATAAGGTAGGTGAGTTTCACGAGAATTTATGCTATGAGATTTTCCCCTCTGCACTCTGAAACGTGTAGTCTAGTTGAACCATTATCTCTTCTACCACAACCTCTTTCAGTTCTCAGTCCCTCGTTCATGAATACCGCCCGAGCGCTTTGTGGGCGCACCTCCTCAACGCTGCAAAACTCCCAAGTTAATGCTCTATCAGAAGTTCACTATGACTGGAGTCCGAGGACGAGGGCAGATAAAATTCTGAAGGCTTTTTTCTTTTTTGGCTGTTATTTAATTTTTCCTTTTCTCTACATGTTTTTACCGCATTCTATCATATTTTTAGAGGATTCGTGGGAGAAAGGTTTGGCAGCGCTAAAAGGTGTGGACTAGACCGGGATTTGACCGGTCCTGAGGAATGGTAGGAAGGGTATGGTCGGGAAATTCATTCTCTCGTTCAGCGACTTTTCTAAACTAACGATAAGTACAGGAATATAAGTAAAGCATGATGAAAACATTCTGTTCCTTCCATGTATTACCACACGTCTCTCGTCTCTTACATACTCGACCCTATCCTCCACACACGCTCGTGCTAAGGATAGGCATGTATGGAGAAACTTCCCTGCAAATCATGATAGTTCAGGAACAAAAGAAAACCCCCGCGGCATTTCCGAAAGCTCCGTGATCAACCAGAATCCATTGTCCCTTACCAAGAACTTCTACGTCCTCAACAGTATTCATCCCAAAATTCTAGACACTCATTAATTTATTGATTCACCCGATAACCCTATTGGGCCCTTATGGCCCCTAACCGCGCATAAAATTAACCCCCTGAATGTCCCAGACATCACTTTTGGTGGGAGAGATCTTGGTAACGTTTTGGGCGAAGATGGACAGAGCACTTGCCGTGGATGTGTTGGGGCACAGTGGCAATTCTTGGGGGTTTTAAACGCCGGATCAGCGGAGACTGTCGCGATATCGAAAGCGAACGGCGAACGAGTGCCGGACGACCAGCGAAACGATCGGGTGAACGAGCGGCGAAGCGAACGAAACTACATGAACGAGTGATGGGCTGTGAAACAAGACACCAAGATCACTCATGTGAAAGAATCGCACGGCTCACGTGGGGGGGTAGAAACTCTTTATTTCACCAGCCTCAGGCTCACACTATGGCGCATTCTCTCTAACTAACTAACGGTAAAGGCAGGAGTATATATCAACGACACAGATGACTGGGTCCTAACCCCCTACGGTATCCATCAAGGTACGTCTCCCACACTAGCAAACAAGAAAAGCTAAGAAAAGACAAAATTCGGCTACCTAGCCTCCGGCCCTCTTTATGGCCTTTCCACTTTCCTTCGTGCCTTCCTTCTAGTCTTCTTGCCACCGTTTAGGCGGATGCACTTCTCCAAGACTCCCGCACTCTCCTGCGACCGAAGTGCTTTCCCGAAAAGCCAAAACTGCGTGGGCGGGAGCCCAAAGTGCGCCCAAAACCAAAGCGCCTCCGGAACGAACAATCCATCGTGAGAGTATGCCGAACAGCACCTCGCGATTTCCAACAGAGGGCACGGGAGGGAATCGCCCTCGGTAGAGACGTTTGGAGATGACTGCTTTGTTATTGGAGCGCTCGTTTCTGTCTAACCTAAAGTAATTGTAACGAGACGTGGGGCGGGAGGGTAGGGAATTGGGATCGGGTGGATAATAGACAGGGTCCCATGGTAGGGATCGGAAGTAGGGTCTATCGAAGGATGGTAGAAAGGTAAACCGGTATTCGTTGTAAGCGCAAAGTGGGCTTTTTGATCCACAGCTGGGGCGACCGAAGGAGACAGAGAGGATTAAAGCGAAATTCTGAACTAGGTTCTAGAGGACATGTCTGCTGTAGACAGTAACAACAGAAGCTTCAGAGGCCCCTTGGATTACTGGAAACCTTCGGTAATAACAGTGGGATTTGATCGGGACCGTCAAGAGGGACGCTGTGGCTAGATGAGGGCAGCCAGTACACGTGTAGAGGGCGTAGTATCGGTAGGTTTAGATAATCGGTTGTTTCAGGAGTATTGCGCAAAATGAGCCTGGTATTGCCACTAGTAAGGGTTTAATCCAGAAGGCGAGAAAGCTAGTCTTTTTAGGGCCCTGGCTCTTGAGAGGTTGCGTGAAAAATTCGGGATGCTTTGAAAGATCGAACTCCTCAGAGCCGCGAGTTGTCCCGTCCTGGCCAGATTCGCAGAAATATCGATGGAGGATAGGGTAGTATTCACGGACAAAGGTGTTAAGAATGAGGCAGAGGAGGCAACGTTGGGGGGTGAGAGCCGGGGTGATAATACTCGTAAGGTTTAACGGTAGTGCTGGGACTCGGTTTTCTCTTCGGACGCACAGCCAGCGGGAAGGCACGGCTGGCCAGAGGGACTGGAGAAATCTGAGGAGAGGGAGGAAACCTCTCCATATGATAGTTGCGCTGTCGACGCCAAGACTAAGGTTGTTTGCTACGAGAAGGAATCGCCTTCTTTCGTCGGAATTCGTGGGGGATCCATGATGGAAGGTGGAATTGCCAAGAAACTAGGTTACAAGGCTTACTAATGTCCTGGACACGGCGTGACCAGTGGTTGGAGAGTTTGCGCCCGCAGACCGAGGTGGCGGTAAATTTGATTAATATATGTTATGCTAAAAGGCTCGGAGACCTGGGTGTCGAAATGCACCTGGTCGCGGCCCAAAAGTCAACCTTAAAGACCTAGAGCAAGCTTCTAGGGAACAACGCTAGAGATACACAAAGTCAGCATATTCCCGTGGATACCAGGGAGAGCTAAGTGCGAAGCACCTCCGAGAGAAATAAATCATATAAAAAATACGATAGCCACGCAATGATATTGATTCTATATTCTCTGCTCTGGCTATCAATACCTCACATTGCACTCAGTTGTTGTAACCCGGCCGCCAAGTCACCTGGATCCTATGCGCAAACTCTTCCCAGCATCTACATGTAGGCCCTTTTTGTGGTAACAGCCACCTAGGTCTGCGGGCGCAAACTCTCTCGCTACATGTACCGTACTCGAGATACGTATGCCGCACCGTACTGTGCCAGAAGAGAACAGAAGCCCAATCAAGTGACCTGAGGGGTATGAAACCGATATCACTCTTGTAGCGACCGACTAGATCGGGATTGTGAGATGAGGCGTCACAGGCGCGGGGATGTATTGTACTTGAATAACATGCCGTAGCCTATCGCACGGGTCTCGCACGGTGAGAAGGGCCATCCGCGAAACCCCTAGGCGCTGGTCGTGTTGGAAGAATAATTTCCAGTTGCACTGGGATTTATGAATAAAAATCCAGAAACAAAAATACGGGTGGCAAAGAAAGTGACAACGGCGACCACCGCATTAATAGAATTGCCGCCTCCTGCTCTGGAGGTTATAATTCCATCTGGCGTGCAGTCGCCTAGAGGATACCATAGTGATAATTCTTTACAACTTGCTCGAGTACTCGTGCAGGGAACCAGTGCACAAGTTTCGCGACCCAGGCTAACCCGCTTGTCCAGTTCGTTCCCGTGTTCTCGCGGGTCCAGATTTGGAATTCGCGTTTGCGGCTTCGGACTAGAGTCCAAGAGTTTCGAAATTTCAACCTTCCCAATTCGGGTCATCTATTTGTTGGTGGTGCCGGTTGCCTGCCAGCGGAGTTCCTCCTTCACCCTCCTAGCTTTGAGTACGCGTGATGTGAGTGCGATTTTGAACAAAACTAGGTTCGCAGGAGGTCACATGAGGCCTACATGAGTGCTAATCCTATTAGGGAGGAGGAACTTCGATGGAGGTACAGTGGGTTTAACAGAAAAACCAGAGACCTTGGTGAAAGACCAAGAAATACCGTGTTTCATCCTCGGTAATTGTATTTCTCAATTGATATCTTTTCCAGAAAAAAAAACTTCTGGTCTTCATGTTTAGATTCTTAGTCGATATTTATTATTACTCTGCTGGTCGGTTTGAACGCACTAGTCTATACAGTACAGTACATCGGGTAGCTTCCCAGAACAAAAGATCAGGAGAGTTTCTCACTCTTACTGGTTGAACACTCATAGGTAGGCCACATACAAACTCCTGCGGACCCGGTCGTTTCCGTAGGGATGGCGCCTAGATATCACTTGTGTGATACGGGTACCGGCCCCGGCACAGTGCCCTGGCAAGAGGCTTAGGTTGAACCTCTTCGGGCTGGAGTCAGCATCCAGGATCGAGAATACTCGAGTTGTAGTGGTGGGCCTCCTGGAGGACGGAGGGTCGCCCTGATCGTATTTGGGTCAATTGAGAATTGGCTCTTGCATCGGTGTGTGAGGGCGGTCGGGTGGTGTGATGAAAATCGGACCTGCAGGCGCGGTTGGAGGATGTTTTCGGCGATTAGTGGTCGTAGGAGAAGCAACCTGCAATGAGGCGGGGGGGAGTGCTGGCTTTGTGTGACATGAATGCTAGACGAGTCGCTGAGTGCGGGGTACGGACAGTATTATAGCTGAGCTAACTCACTCACTTCTGCTCTCCTACGGACCAGCGAAATAGGGTAACTCGGCCTTAATACCTAACCCCTCCCGCACCATTTTTCCCTACCTGATTGTGGATTTACAATCATTAAACAGATTCAATCGCCACTTCATTAGAACCCCTCTTCTCACGGCTCAAGAACCAAGCGATAAGATGGGCTGTGGGCAATCGAGCGCGGCTTCTGAGTCTCCTGAGGACGGTTCCTCACCCCAACAGTGTGTTCTCCTATGTCGGTTATACATGTTAGTGCTTCAGATGCTTAATGCTAGTACCAACCGGGTCCGGTTCTAGAGCTACGATCAATACCAACACCCAAGTGCAAGGTGATCATAGCGGCAACACCGATTCCAATAACATCACGAACTCGGGTAACACGACCAACAATATTCTCTACAACCAGGGTCCCTTGAACCCACCCGAGAACTACACCGAAATTGTGCAATGCCTATATACGTCTCGATACGAGAGCCACCGGAACCGAATTCGGGATCCCGTTGAGGGAACCTGTACCTGGGCTACCAAGCATCCAAAATATAAGGACTGGTTGGAAAATAACACATCCAGCCTCCTCTGGCTGTCGGCGGATCCTGGTTGTGGTAAATCGGTCATCGCTTCATTCCTAGTAAAGCATTTGGAAACCCAAACGGACGCCATCATTTGTTATTTCTTTTTCAAAGACGACAGCGATGAACAGAAGAGCGCGACATTTGCTCTTTGCGCCATACTACATCAGCTCTTTTCGGGCAGACACTCACTGGGTAGATATGCCGATCAAGCGTTTAAGGATAGGGGGAAGAGATTTACGGAGGAGGTGGATACATTGTGGGGTATTTTGGTGAAAGCGGTAGCCGAGGGGGGGTGCGGCGATGTAATTTGTGTTGTGGATGCGTTGGACGAGTGCGAGGGGGTGACCCAAGCACGACTTTTAGGCCACCTCGCTAGGCTCGCCAAGCAACCGAATCATGACATGAGGTTGAAACTCCTTGTCACGAGTCGCCCATACCAGGGAATCGGGATAGGGCTTCTCTCGCGTGCAACGACTGTTCGGCTGGAGGGGGGGGGCGGGATCGGGTCGATTACTTCCGATGTTAGTCGCGTCATCGATGAGGGCGTAAAGGACTTAGAGAAATACTGGGGACGGCCTGGTGGTTTTGGATATTTGCGGGATCTCCTCGAATGCTCGGCCGATCGGACCTTCATTTGGGTGGCCATCGTTCTTGATATTTTGAAGGATAGTGGGGAGGACTCGGAGGAGGAGTTTACTAGCATTGTCTCCACAGCACCAAGAGATCTAGCTGAACTCTACACCAAGATTCTCGATAAAAGCAGGTCCCCCGACAAAGCGCGGCGGATCCTAAATATAGTAGCAGCAGCTGTAAGACCTCTTACACTTCACGAAATAAATGTTACATTCAAAATCGGGCAGGATCGGAAGACAAGGAAAGGCCTGCGCGATCTTCCCCCTAAATTCGGAAAAATGGTAAAAAATCTGTGTGGACATTTCGTCCGCATCATCGATTCAAAGATTTACCTTGTTCACCAAACTGCAAGGGAGTTCCTCCTTGAGTCATCATCACCTGGCCAAGGAAACTGGCAGTATACCCTGAGTCTCAAGGATTCTAACTTTATAATGGCTGACATTTGTATCTCCTATCTTGCGCTAGAGGAGTTTGAAGATAACCTACTAGCGATCGATACTTACGGTACAATCAGTGAGAGCGCGGTTGGTGATTACCTGCAGAAATATGCCTTTCTTGATTACGCAGCCCGACACTGGCCAGACCACTTCCGAGATTGCGAGGGCCGGCAGATGGAGCTACTTGAGTCTACTCGACTGATCTGTGGAGCTGGGTCCCAACGCCTTCTGACATGGCTTCAGGTGTACTGGCTCAACTCCAACCAGCAGTATTGGTTCCCAGAAGATTGGACACATTTAATGATAGCATCATGGCTAGGACAAAAGGCAGTGGTTGAACAGCTATTGGAAGAGGGGGGTGATATCAATGCTCGATCTAATCTATATGGCCCCATATTGAACATAGCTGCTATCCGGAGGGACGGTGATATAACTAAAATGCTGCTGGATAAGAACGCCAAAGCATATATAGGCGGGAAGGAGTATAACATCTTGCAGGTGAACATGCCGTTAGATTGAATTGACTTGCGCATAGCTAACAAAGAATTGATATTGCGTTAAAGACGGTATGTGGACTTCTTGGCATGAGAGGGGGCTAAAACTGATTCAGGGCCGATCTTTGTTATAGAAGGCGAGTGGAGGCTGTGGATCATATCCCCCCTACAGTGTCAAGTTGCTAACGCTGGAGGTGTGGAAACTTTAGAAAGTAAGTGGGCTGCATTAGGGGTGCTAGGCAACGGCTATGACTGACATTTGATTTGAGCATTATGGCAGAGCGTAGGTTATCATATTCTTCACGAGGGGATAACAAAATAAGTATACTGACTTGTACCGAGATACAGGATGTAAGGAACTAAGGAAAGATCCTAGATAACAGAGGTGGTGACTAACAGCCGGGCTGCGGGGTAAGGTAGCTTGTACGTAGTAGAAACAGGAGAATGTGAGGAACAAGCGATTGCTAATAACTAGCAAATGGTGGATTTTAGGGAGTAAGTGCAAAGGAACAACCAAGATCCTGGAGCGAGGCAATGACTGACCTCCGGCTCACTGAGTGTTGTAGGAAGTAAGTGAACACGGTCAACCACGGTTCGACGACAAGGGAATCGCTGACCTCCGGCTCGCTGAGCCTTGTAGGCAGTAAGTGAACACGATCAACTACGGCTGTACGGCGACGAGGTAGTGGCTGACCTGCCGCTCGCGGAGTGTTGTAGGAAGTAAGTGAACACGATCAACCACGGTTCTATGACGAGATAATGGCTGACCTCCGGCTCGCTGAGTGTTGCAGGAAGTAAGTGATCATAATCAACCACGGTTCTACGACGAGGCAATGGCTGACC